CTTTCAGGTATAAATGGTCTTTTCACTACTATTTAAAAGGTCATTTCTGTATGGACAGAAAATATGAGTAGGGAAGAATACACTGTAAAGTTCTCAGTAAGTGACAAGTTAATAAGTTAAGGATACTGCTGGGCTAACCTGACTTGGAATCCTGAGATAATAGTAGCTTTATTCTGTGACTCTAACTGGCTTCCATGTAACCACAGTTACAATTGCAAAAACCACTTCACTTTTCTTATGCACCTTGTCAGCTCGGAGGACAACTGAAAATATTAATTCCACAGATCAACGTTCATTAGCATTAAAAGAAATTCTCCCTATATACCCCGCTTAAACACTGATGGAATAAATGCCAGCTGAAACATTTTACTTAAAAAATACAAGTACATCCTCTTCTCTATTTTGTTTGCTTATTTAAAAAAAATTTATTGCCAGTTAAAGATACTTATACAGTTTCAAACAGCTCATAGTATTTTACCCTGTGAAAAATCATAATGGTTGTTTTCATATCCCCAAATGCAGTAAGTATAATTTCAAACAAAATCACTTGCATAATTACTGAGCTATGGCAACTGTTCATCTGTGTGCTAACAGGAAGAAAAGGTAACATCCCCCATCCTCAGGGCTAATTAGCTAATGTAAGCATTGGCTTAGGACCCAGTGTCCAGATGTGAAAGATCTCTCCTGACTCACTGCAATCTATCAAATGCTTCTATCTGATAATCCTCCCATGGAGAAGGCATGATAATTACTTAAGAGTTAGAGACCCTTTGTGAAGATCAGAACCTTGAGAATCAGCCCTTCCTTAATTGATTGATCTGAAATCTCATAATGTGTGCAGTGCTCAGACCAGGGGCATTTTATTGCATTTGATAGATGGTTGAATTTAGAACATGTGGCTGAGATGATCAATATGAGGGCTGCTTTAAAAGCTCAGAGTGCATCAGGAATACCCAAACTGTACTGCTCACCTCTGACTCACAGTGTATTATGGCAGTAGCACAGAGGGGAAGATGAACTTGAAAAATTGCCCTTGGTGTTTGGAACCTACGGATAGCTAAGTAAATACTCCTGTATTCTGTTTCATGTAGCATGAAATAGCATTATGCTTCATGTCATCCATTTCCCCCTACATTTTAGACAGCTAAAGCCATCTTTAGAGAATAGTCATAAAATCTCCACTTCAAAAAAGGTTTCTCAGCTCTTCTTTAGTTGGGCAATCAGTCATTAAAAGCCAATAGAAACACTATTTAAAGGAGGGGATGATGACAGATGCAGGATTCCTAAACATTGCCAACCTGGAAAATGGATGGGTTTTCATAGAAGAAATGAGGGACACCAGGCAGGAAACTGCTTGTGACTCAAAGAGACCAGTTCTGCCCTTCACACCCGCAAGGGCTGAGAAAATCCGACTGGGCTGAGCGCAACAGTGAGCGTGGCTCTGTCCGTGGTAGCCACCAGTGCATCTGACGATTGAGAGCTTGAAATGATGCTGGTCTGAGCCGTGAGCGCAAAATACACACTGGATTTCCAAGACAGAGTATGAATAAAAAAAGGGGGGAAAAAAGGTATCTCCTTAGAGTCTTTTCGACTATACATTAAAATACTTGAAATGTTTAGAGTTAAACAATATTCTTAAAATTAACTGCACCTGCTTCTTTTCCAATCTGGCTACTAGATACTTAAAAGATATATATATTTATTTTTAATTGGAGGATAATTGCTTTACAATATTGCATTGGTTTCTGTCATACATCAACAGGAATCAGCCATAGGTATATGTATTTTCTCTCCCTCTTGAACCTCTATCCCACCCCTCTAGGTTGTCACAGATCAACAGATTTGAGCTTCCTAAAATTAGATCAGTGACTTGCATTTTATTTCTAGCTGACAGCCCTGCTCTAGAGGTTCCTTGAAGTGGTCCTCTATAGGGTCAGCCTAAGATGCACTGAAGCACTTTGCCATCCATCTGTATGTGTAGCTGATTAGGTCATGGTACTTGGCGACTACTTGATAAATAGAAGACTGTCATCCAGACTAGAGGGAGGGATGTTCCTGCTGGCTTTGCAGAAGGAAGCTGACATTTTGGGAGAAGGTTGTGTGGCCAGGAGGTGAGGACAGGGCAGAGAAAGGGAGCTGAGTGTGGAGGACAGGTTCCCTGCCTAACCACAAGACTCACAGATGAGCCCTTTCTAGTCCAGAAAGCGGGATATGCACAGACACACACCTCTTCTCATCCGTATTGCTTACAAATATAATCCTGCACTGGTACAGAAATACCAAGGGACATGAGAGAGGGATGATTGATTCCTCAATTTATCTACACACTCCACTCATGAAAAGCTGCAGATGATACAGGGTAGAAAAAACATTTCATATTTTGAGTGATTGACTCCATCTTTCCTTCTTATAGAAATACACCCCGATGGCAAAGATTCCCTTAATAGCGCCTTTTCTTTCATAGAAGTATAATTGTTTGCTATATACATAACCACCCAGAATATATATATAATGTTTCTAAGTCTCACAACAAGGTGAGACTATCTGGCTGGATTTTGGCCAATTGGACTGAGAAGGAATGCGTGTGATAGTTTTTGAAGACTCCCTCCTAAACTCCTCCATCCTTTCGCCTGGAGTTTGGATGCCACCTTGGACCATGAGGATGGAAGTCTGACCAGAAGGAGGACAGAGTGAGACTTGAGGACATCTCCATCTCTGAAACAGACCTGCCCATCCTTGTCCTATACTGCCTATATCTTGATTCTATATGGAAGAAAAATTCACCTCCATTTGTTTTAAGTTTCTCTTGAAGTATATTTTTCTTTTAAGTCACCTAATTGTTATCATCTTATCCTAAACAGTTTATGTCAAATTCTTCTATTTAGGAGATTTCAGGACTTTTGATTTAAGATTTACTTAATGTCTTACTACTCTAAGTGCTCTAAAATACAGATTTCTTTACAGATTTCTTTAAAACTGTGTCTTTAAAGATATTTTTATTGTTCCCCAGACACAGTCTGCTCCAGTATATAGATTTAAAATACATATCCTATAAGAAAACACTTTCTTAAGAATTATTTCCAACTGCTATAGCTCATTATTGCAGAGAGTTACAAGTAACAAGAGGAAATAAACTAAAAATTAGTCCATGAAAAAGAAGGTACATCTAATTGAAGCAAAACAGCTGAGTCATCAACTGGGAGCTGGGGTGGAGGGGAAGAGATGGATAAATCTGAGTGTGAATGAGAGAAGTGGGTGCTGGAGAGAGGGGAGAAGCTGTCCACGGGAAACCAGAGCAGGAGTCACACAACAGACAAACACCCTGTGGAAGAAGATCTCTTCTCAAATATGATAAAGTCGACTGTGAGAGTCTGTGGGGATGGAGGAACGGTCCTGCCCTTAGCCTGGCTGGAGCAGCCGTCGGCTGAGACAAGCACCTCTAAGTGTTTGGTACCAGGTCAGGACAGTTAGGGGCCAGCATGCTGAGAAAGTGTTTGGAGTCTAGATGAGATTTGGCCCAAAGAGGGTACAAGGAAAACTTCTGAATTAATAAATAAGGTAAGAATCAAATAATATCCCACTCAATAGTCCCTTTATGTTACTTATAATATCAATTTGAAACAGATGCACATTTACTAGTTTTGTCTAGCGTGGGCTTTTAAAATAATGCCATATGTTCCTGACGTAGAAAAGCAAGAAAAACAAAAAATGAAAGCACATTTTTCCCCCCTAGGGGGAAGGCTAATACCTGAGGCTTGGTGCTCATTTGTCACTGGGAGAATGAGCATTATTACTGTGTGGTGGGAACACGGGTTTTGCTAGAGTTCCTTTGGAAGCCTAATGATGTCGCATCAGTAAATATTAGTGCACAGGTAGTCGTGACAACAGGGGAGGGCACAGCCACACACTCCTCCTGAGGAGAGCGGGTACTCCTCCAGGAAGGGAAGCATTTCATGGGGAAGGGTCACCTGCAGGCGGACCACACACCCACTCTGCCCTCGGGGTGCCAGATGCTACAAAGGTGTGCTGCTACATGTGAAAAGGTGAGGGCACCCTATAGTAGACCAGGCAATCTAGTATTTTAGCTTTGATGAAACTAGCCACGTGTTTCACAACTGCCTCACTTCACAGGATGTAACTGACATGGTTCATTTTTACAACCAAAACATTTTAAATAAAAATTTATAAATCCATTCATCTGAAAAAGACTATAACAAGGGGAAATATATTGTTATATATGAAACTTCCCCTTTTATTCCTTGTTCAACTTAGTACTTTTTTCCTTCTTCCTTTAAAACTACCAACCACCTTGTTTAAATTATTTGATGGCCACAATGCAAACAAAACAAAACGAAAGCTAGCTTTTCTTTTAATTTTATTAATTCTTCCTTAGTATAATATCCAAAACAGTTTTTTGCTGGTTTCACTATGGCTTCTATAATTCTGGTAGGATTTTTCACATATTTCATAGATGCAACAGATATTTGATCTCACTGAAGAAGATGATAATGCAACATTTTGTTCTATGTCCAAGATTAGTTTAATAATAAAATGATGGCTTCAGATCATGCTAACAAACTCCCTTTATCACTGATACTACCAAAATTCAAAAAATTAACTTCACTGCTATTGCAAAGTGAAACATTTTTAGATTTACAGGGACTTGCATTCTATTTTCCAAAGCATCTAGTTATATAACATATTTTCGTACATGTGCAAGCTGTGTATATAGATAGATGGATACCAAGTTATATAGAATGTGTTTGAAAGATTAGGTTTGCTCATGTATTTCCTAAAATTTAAAAAACACAAATATCCTTGGAAATGTTTGTCTCCTAAAAAATTTCAAAAAAAAATATTTCTTGTTAACCAACATCACCATGAAAACATAAATCATCACCAAGTTTTGCTGTCTATACACTGGGCTTTGCATTTGGATCTTCTTGTGTATTCAGCTATAAGGAAAGAGAATCTGGGCAGACGTGACCACCCCGACTCACCTCTGCAGATCGGCCGGTGGTCGCTCCACGCAGCCAGGGTCTCGGTGACTCTCTGACACGTTATGCTCTTGGATCCCTGGAGCACATAATTGTCCTCACAGGAGAACTGTACATTTGCACCAACCCTGAGAAATTACAAAACCAAAAACAACCCGGATTACTCATGGAAGATGTCTTTAAAAAAACCATCACAGTGCTGCTACCATGTAATGCCATCAAAATAATATAACAACATTAAGTGACCCATTAGTAATTATTCACAGATAAACCCTTTAATGCAGCACAAGACTTGGGTTCAAATTCCCATTTTGCCAACTTCTCTTAAATAAATACATAATCCTTAAGGTATCTTCTCTAAAATTAACAATAACAGACATGGCAGAACCAGGTGTTGCAGCTAAGCAAGAAATGCATCTGAAAGAAGGAAACCCTGGAATCAAAACAAAGCTGGATGTCCTTCAACGTGGATAAACATCCTACCAGAAAAAAAAAAAAAAAAGACTGAAACAGCCCAGGTTAAGAAATGGCTCAGTATACAAAAAGACAATGGCTCTAGCATTCCATTTATATGAGGTGTCAAATATAGTAAAATTTATAAAACCAAAAACTGGAAGGGTGGTGACCAGAGGCTAGTGGGGTCGAGGGAAAATGGGAAGTTGTTAATTCAAAGGCATAAAGATTAAGTTAAGTAAGATAAATAATTTCTAGAGATCTGCTATTCATCATTGTAGCTTAGTCAACAGTAATGTATGCTTAAAATTTTTTTAAAGATACTTTTCAAGTTAAGTATTCTTATCATCCTCATAGAACTTGCTTCCAATGAAAGAAAAGGGAAAAAAAATGTCTCAGTAAAGAATTAGTTGGGGCTTCCCTAGGGGCTCAGCAGTAAAGAATCTGCCTGCAATGCAGGAGTCTCAGGAGACGCAGGTTCGGTCTCTAGGTTGGGAAAATCCCCTGGAGGATGGCATGACAACCCACTCCAGCATTCTTGCCTGGAGAATTCCAAGGACAGAGAAGTCTGGTGGGCTACAGTCCATGGGGTCGCACAGAGATGGACATAACTGAAGCGAATGAGCACACATGCATGCAAAGAATTTGTTACCACTGTAATATATTAATTATATTCAGAAGGCTGGTGCTATTATATTTCAGAAATGCATCTTACAGGAAAAGGTACTTTGCTTTAGAAAAAAGTGACCCATCCGGCCTAGAGTCAGATGAAAAACTGCTTTGGCTCCAGAGCTGCCACAGGAAGCATGAAGCCTTAAGGCTGCGAGCAGTAACGGAATGTGACCGCAGCATCACAACTCAACAGGTGCATGAGGAAATGCAAGAGGCATGCCCCAGGTCTGAGCACATCCGGTCCCTTCTTCTAAGCCTGCTTTCTGGCACTGAACTGAGTGCAGTGTTGCTTTATAATCCTACAAGCCTGTGTTACAAGAGGAAACTCTGCCTGTGTCCTCCATTTGAAGTTGACAAAATGGGAATGAAAGACGGTCTTTTAGAGAAAATGTGAATAGTTGCCCATGTAATATGTAAAGTTATTAATAGGTAAAAGATAATAAAAAATTAAACAAATGCTGTCTTTTATTGCTTACTGAAAAAATTCCTGTCTGCAACATTATAGTGGACATTATTCCAGTAACATAAGAGCATCTCTCACACTTTAACATCGTGGGATCATCACAAATGTCTATAAAAATCATCAAATCAGGGTCAAATCAATGTGAAAAGTTCTGGATTAAACACAATTCAGCATCTTTCTTGTCCAAAGAGGACTCTCAGCTTACTAAAATTTAATATGCAAAATGTGCTTCGCCTACTTAAGAAAATTAAAAATATGTAGAATTTTCCAAATTTATCTGATTAGGAAGCCCTTTCACACAAAGTATCCAGGGCAACTAGAATTCTATGGAGGTAATTTTGAGAAATGCTGCATAATAAGGACATAATATGTATTCTCTTTTTAAAGTAAAAAGTGGAAAAACAAAATGGAGACATAATTCTAATTTTCAGTGTCTGGGTACAGCAGTTATTTTAAATAGCTATACTTTTTAGACACATCCCTTCATAATTTCATTTGGTCATTGTTTAGACTTCTGGAAACAGACTGAATAAAAAAAAAATCTAAATATTTGGTTTGAAAACAACTGTTCTCTCTCTCTGTTCTCTATGCCAGGTCCCAGTGTTCAGTTCTCCTTATTTACCTAAATTTCAGTTCTCATACTTTTCATCATTCTTTCAATACATTTTTATTGAATATCTATGTGCCACACTACTCCAGGTACCAAAGATACAGAAATTGTGATTGACAAAGTCTCATGGGGTTAGCAAACTAGTTAAAGGAGGACAAAAATAAATAAATGAAATAAGAAGAAAATGAAACTATCATAAGTACTGTGAGCAAAATAAACCAAGCAGTGTGATTAATAATAGGTTAGGGAGCGCTGGGATTTAAGAATGTGTCAATATTTTTTTGATCCTCTCAAACTGGGGTGCTAGTGTCTCACATGATATTTTGGGCATGATCAAACATAAAGGAAGGAAAATAATATTATTGTTTCCCTCAGCATCCACTTACTTCAGTTCCAAAGCCTGTCATTCATAGTTCTAATGGGTGCACTCCACCCCAACAAAGTATCTATCTTTTTCATACATCTGATCAACTTCGTTTAGGTATTCCTGGTGAATCCTGTTAATGTTGACTGGTAGATCTCAGTTCTGGCAACATAATACAGATATATTATCCAAAGTATGAGAAAATATGGCCAGAGTTACTTATTAGAAGTCATGATAGTGTCCATTAATAGAAATATGTCCATTAATAATATAGTTATATTATTCCATATGTATTTTAAAGAATGCAATGTTTCTACAAAATGAGCAAAATATATAGCAATACAGGGAAGAAAAAGATTTTCTACAAAATTGTTACCCCAGGTAACTCTTAGCTTTGAGTATCTGAATCTGTGTATCAGGAAAAATCAGTATAAAGCTATTTTTAGAGTGCTAATAGAATCACAAGTACACTTTTGTTTCTATATTACAATAATTGTACTACTTCTGAGTTTATTACAAGTTAAATTTTAAAATGTTTTAAGATCCTACTATTAGATTGCCCCTTTGTTCTCACTGACTGAGACAGAACTCTCACACCTAACAGAGTTCATTCCTTCCTCCGATTTTCATCAGACAAAAATTAAAGAAGCTCTTCTATCCAAGGTAAGGATTCTTCCTAAAAATCACCATAGGGTACCACAGAAGATCTAGTCCAGAAATCTCTATCTGGGTTTTGGGGAAATCTCTTCAAAGTATGTACAGAATCCATTCCTTAATTTCTGGCCTGAAACCTTTTGACAAATGATTGAAAATAACAACTGATAAAATAGAGAGGCTTCTCTACTTTCAAACAATAAAAATCACTAATAAGCAACCTCTCTTCTTGACTGTGCAATGAAAAACAGAGCCATTGATGGGTAAACTCTGCATTGTGATGAATAAGGCTGAGCTTGAAACTGATGATGACCCAACTTCTAATTTATTATTTCAACCTCTTGCTTTGGTTTTATCTAGAGCATAAATTAGTCCGATTTAAAATCCATGCACACTTTCCACTTCAAATACATAATAAATTAAGCTTTTATTTATGATTAGATTTTATGATTACTATGTTTGAAGGCATACATATAACATTAGGAAAACTAATTTGGTTTTCTGAAAAGTACTCAGGAGAAAATAACAGAAAAAATTATTAGCACCTTCCCACTGGCAAATGAATTCAGAACACCTTGGATTAAGTTTGTCAAACAATTTTGACAATTGCTAATAGTTGGAAATTGTCACAAATAATTTAGAACACTGATTTTGTGTAATTTCAAGATAAACAGTGATTGATAATAAATATCCAAATGGCAACTCTTAAGTTAAATAGTTGAAGCAGAATGATTTTGTATTTTAAACAGAAGAGAAGAAGCGAGAAAATAACAATTTTTACCTGCATTGGTTCACAACTGGTTATGGTCTGGCTTTTAGCACGAGGTGCCCTGCTAGTCATAAGCATGCATTGCTGAGCTAATGAGGGCAAGGGATACTTCATCAAACAACTATTGGACAATGAGGTAAATAAATATAAATTATTATCGGGAAAAATGATTTTGCCTTTAGTGAAAAGGTAAGAAATTGAAAAGGGCAGACATTGAAATTTGTGTTGGGTATTCAGAGATCCATATGATTAATTTGTTGTTGTCGTTGGTCAGTCGCTAAGTCGTGTCTGACTCTTGCGACCCCATGAACTCCAGCACTCCAGGCTTCCCTGTCCTTCACTAACTCCTGGAGCTTGCTCAGATTCATGTCCATTGAGCCAGTGATGCCATCCGACCCTCTTAACCTCTACTGTCCCCTTCTCCTCCTGCCCTCAATCTTCCCCGGCATCAGGGTCTTTTCCAATGTGTTGGCTCTTTGCATCAGGTGGACAAAGCACTGGAGCTAGAGCTTCAGCATCAGTCCTTCCAGTGAATATTCAGGGTTGATTTCCTTTAGGATTGACTGGTTTGATCTTCTCACTTTCCTCAAATTGAGTATCTGTGTACTAGAGTGAAACCCACCATAGAAAGCCCTGTTGGTTTCAGAGTTGGTGATTTGTTCAGGGAACGGCAAGTAGCCAGGTTTGTCCTGAAGACTGCTGCTCCAAAGAGGTGCCCATTCCTTCCTGCTCCAGAGGTTCCCCCACAGACTATGGGATTCTGGGTGCTCTCCTGATCTACCCCTCCTCCTTTCCCTCTCTTTGAGGTAAGCTTAGCTCTTTCATTGCTCCACACAATAATTCATTGGAGAAATATTAACCTGAAGCTGGGAAAAGCTGGGAAAAGAAGCCCCACAGAGAGGCAGCTCCCAGGAGAAGGCTCCCCAAGGGAAAGCCTCACATTTCATTCACCTTGAAATCCCTCACCGCCTTCAGCAGAGCTTGTTGCACTTACAGTATCCCTGAGACAGATACTTGTAGATGACTACACAAACAGGAGACAAAAGGACAAACAGGACAAACAGGAGACAAAGACATGAATTCAGCCACCTTGCACCTCGCACTAAATGTGCACCCAGCCACCACAGTGCAAGACTCTAGGAG